AAGACTAAGAAAATAACTGAGAGGGCCCAAATCTTTAGAGGCAAACTCCGAATTGAGCTTGCAAGTGAAGCTGTGGATAAGAGATGAGTTGTTGCCAGTAACAATAATATCATCAACATAAAGGAGCAAATAGATTATGTCAGACTGTTTATGGAAAATAAAGAGAGAAGCGTCAGTACGACTGCACTAGAAGCCAAGCTGAACAAGAAAAGAGCTGAAGCGGTGAAACCAGGCACGAGGTGCTTGTTTGAGTCTGTAGAGGGCTTTCTTTAGCTGACAGACATGATTAGGAAAGCGAGGATCAATGTACCCTGGAGGCTACTCCATATAAACATTTTCAGTAAGAGTACCATTGAGAAATACATTCTTGACATCAAGTTGGCGAAGAGGCCATCTATTGGTGAAAGCAATGGAAAGCACAACACGAACAGTGGTAGCCTTGATAACAGAGCTAAAGGTGTCAGTATAATCAAGGCCAGGTACTTGTGTATAGCCTTTGGCAACAAGACGAGCTTTGAGACGCTCAACAGATCCATCAGACAAATATTTGGTCCGAAATACCCATTTGGAACCCACAATGTTTGTGTGAACGGGTCACGGGACTAAAATCCAGGTGTGGTTATTTTGTAAGGCATGAACTTCGTCATCCATGGCTGCAAGCCAAGCAGGATTTTTAGCAGCAAAGTTGAATCCTTTAGGCTCAGTAGATACAAGCAGGGCAGAAAGAAGTCCAGAGGAACCCAAAATACCCAGATTTGCCGGATGACGAGTTTTAAAAATACCAGCCTTAGCTTGCGTGAGCATAGGGTGAGAACCCAACGGGAATGCATGAGCGGACGTGGGATCAGTAATCATAGGATCAGTGGCAGACTCAACAGAAGACATACTTGGGGCCCGGTGCAGCGAAGAAGAACCTGCATGAGAGTCAGTACCCTGCAAAGACTCATCCATTGGGTCAGTACAAATAGCACATAGGATAGATCCGGATGGAGCAATAGGGGGGAATGGTGGTCAGGGGGAGTTGGAGGTGTGTGGGTATGCATCATGCTGGGTTCTAAAAAATTAGAAAAATGGAGAGACGATATAGGTTGAGACTGAGATGTATCTAGTGAGGAAAAGTAATTTTCATCAAACTGGGCATGTCGAGTTATATATTGCCTAGAGGTGGTGGGATCAAGACAACGAAAACCTTTATATGAGGTACTATAACCCAGAAAAATGCAAGGAATGCTACGCGGAGAAGTTTGTGAGGCATATAATCACGCAAGTAAGGATAAACACAACAACCAAAGGGATGAAAATTCGTATAATTAGGGGAGGAACGATAGAGAAGCTCGAAAGGTGACTTACTCCCAAGAAGCGGTGTAGGCAATCGGTTGATGATGTAAGCTGCAGTGCTGAATGCGTCCACCCAGTAACGAGGAGATAGGTGAGAGTGAAAGAGAAGGGCTAGACCGGTATCGGCAATATGACGATGTTTTCTTTCAGCACGACCATTTTGAGCAGGCGCATATGGACAAGAGAGTTGATGGTGGATACCAGAGGTGCGAAGAAGATCTTGGAAACGGTAACTGGTGAATTCAGCACCTCCATCGCTTTGAAATTTTTTTATACGAGCAGAATGTTGATTTTCCACAAATGTTTGAAATTGGCGAAAAACATTATAAACATCAGATTTTAATTTCAAAGGATATAACCAAGTAAAGCAAGAAAAATCATCAATGAAGAGAATATAATAGGCAAAACCTAAGGTGGATTTGATGGGGGAAGGACCCCATATATCACAATGAATTAAATCCAACACATTAGACGATCGCCGTTCATTACGTGAATAAGGTAGATGATGATTTTTCACAAGTTGACATGTACTACACAGTTTTGGAGAAGGCAATAAAGATGTAAGAAAAATATGACCATTTTTATTTAAAAGAGAAATAACAGAATGATTCACATGTCCGAGGCGAGCATGCCATAAATCAAATGAAGCATGAAGAGATTTATTTTTAAGAACAGAAATAAAAGCTGAATGTCCACGCTCCAGCACATATAAGCCGCCATCTCTTTTACCGTTTGCCACCACCCTTCCCGTTTGGCGATTCTGCATGGTAAAAAGATTATTAGTAAGGGTGACAGATAATGGAAAATCGGAGGTTAATTTACTAATGGACAATAGATTTTTAGTAAGATGAGGAACAACTAAGACATCTAGTAAATGAAAATTTGGATTGGGAGAAATAATACCCGTATGGGTTATGGGCAGAGAGGCACCATGACCCACTATTACACAATCCTTACCCGTGTAACTATTGGATTGATCCAAATTAGATGGGTCAGTGGTCATATAGGCCGAAGCCCCAGTATCCAAGTACCATTCAGGGGCTTTATTTGCAGAGACAGAGCAGCATTGATGGAAAGTCTCGACAAGGTGAGAAGAGGAGTCACAACCTGTGTATCACTGATCGCAACAATCGGCATAGTGCCCCTCAGTGCTGCAAATATGGCAGCGGGGAGGGCGACGCCAATGACCAGAGTTGCTTCCATTGCCCAGATTCGAAAAGGAAGAGCCATGGCAGCGTCCGCGTAGAGTGGGAGAGGGATTTTCCCTCTGGTTCTCTCGGTAATGGCTACGGTTTGTGGCTGTAAATGCGGCTGGAGAAGAACCCGAAGACTCTAGAGACTTTTGAAAAAGCTCAAAACTTTCAGCTTTGGAGATTAAATCAGTAAAGCAGGGGAGAGGTGTGGCAGCAAACTGTGCAGTGGGGAAAGATGAAAAATCTGAGCCAGGACCTCTGAGGAACCAGTGTACTTTGTCGGTGTCATCGACTAGACAACCGATGGCATGGAGCTGGTCACAAACTGCCTTGAAAGCACGGGTATACATGGTTACGAATTGGGCACCGCGTTTCATCATCTGAAGGACATCTTTGAGACGAATTTCTCGAGCTTTGGACCGGTGGCTGAAGGTGTTTTCCAGGGTAAGCCAGACTTCGCGAGAGGTGGAGAGACCGACGACTTCAGCCATAGCTTTCTCGGTGAGGGAGGAAAGGAAAAGACTGAGTAGTTGTTTGTCAGCAACTTTCCACGCCAAGTGTTTGGGATTAGGCGTCTGTGAAGTTGCTGGTTCAAATTGTGGGGAAGATTCAAGGGTTCCATCAACATAGCCTAGTAAGTCTTGGCTTTCAAGAAGGGGAAGAAGTTGGCTTTTCCATAGAGATAGTTGGTAGATGAAAGCTTAATGGTTACCATGTGAATTAAGGTGCTGAAAGGGACAAGGGTGGATTCGGTAGCCATGTGGGAGGATGAAGGGAGGGATCGAGAGAGGTTAATCTGTGTGCGGCTCTGATACCATGAAAATGTTTGATGAAACCACCACACGTTGAAATGGTGAGTAGGTTTTCATATATAGCATTTTACATATCAATTACAATTAATGTGAAATATAAGAATGGAAAGAATATACAGAGCAATCTCCTATAATTGAGGACTGAATGAAGTCACGTATGGCAAGCCTCCTTAGATGAAGGCAGAGTATCCTTAACATGAGGCGTATAGTTGGTGCATGAAAAGTTGTAAAATACTTGTTCCACAATTTATTGGTGGCACCTGGAAAACATGTAATAAATTGCTGATATCTCTTATAAAGCATTTGAAAATAGCTCAGTTCCTTGCACGATATGTGTGTCCTGTAAAAGCAGATAGCTTGCCAACAAAGAGTATCTTTAAAACCAGTGGTGGAGGTAGGCAGATGTGTATGGACTATTTCCCCACTCTTTCTAATTGAATATTTGGCAAAGCTTAATTATCATTTAAGCTAACCAAACACACTTTTTACCCACACATTCTATGGACCAACAACTTATTATTATTATTATCATCATTATCATCATCATCATCATCATCATCATCATCATCCAAACATTCTTTGGGACTTGCACCTTAAATTAGAATTTAATCACTCCCAAACAAGCAGCAATCCATTAAATACAATAATAAATATATTGTCAAAAGAACATCTGTTAGACATGCCCCCAATCCCCCTACACCCAGCCACACAAACTAACTTTCTAAATTTGTAATAGAGTTTACTATATAAAGAAAGAAAAAAGTCAGCCAAACTTATTACGCTTAATAGCAGTAAAAGGCAGGAAGACAAAGATGGCACTGGTACTGGCTGTTCATTGACTCTTAACGTTAAGCACTTATCACGTGAATTAAGTAAATCATGGTCATTTCTCTTCAGCAACAATAACAAGATGGTTGTAGCAGAATTACAATGATCATGATTCAAGCTGGCGTCGGAGGGGGTTGGTGGTGTGATGATGTTTGTTGGTTGTTGTTGGTGGTGTGTTGGTTGTTATGGTTGTTTTTGGTTGGGTTTGTTGCTTTGGTTTTAGTTTGTGTTGTTCTGTGGTGTGGTCGGTTTGGCAGTGATGAAGTCTGACAATGTCCGCTTCTTTGTGTGCGGAGGTGCTATAGTGCCGAGGGCGTAGTTGGCTTTGTTAGTCACAGATGTCATTTGACTTCTACTGCCTTTGTTTGTTTTGGGTCGTGTATAGTTTGTTTGTGTTTGGCTCTAGTTTAGTTGTGTGGTCGTTGTTTAGGCTGTGGAAGCACTTTATCTCTCTTTGGAGAGCGTGTGTTGGAGGTTTTCCTCCTTGTATCCACGTTTTGTGCCCTCTATGTATACTTTGTGCTTCATTATCCAAAAAAAAAAGGGAACTTGCTTATTTCATAGAATTTTGACTAGAAGTTTAAGCCTTGTTTGGTTTAGATAAAAATTAGATTTTAAGTAGATTTCGATAAAAGTTGATAAAATGTGTTATTAAAAAGTTGTGGCACTTGTGGTTGTGGGTTCATAAAATATCTGCTTAAAATTAACAATCATGCTACATGCACATTTTATTTGACATCATTTTTGTCATTATGCCATGTGTCGTATCATGATTGGACAGCCTTTTAAAAAAAAACCCTTTTTCGCCAAACACATTTTGAATTCCCAAGCAATATCAACAAAAGTGTACAACACTTAACATAATTCTAAAATTAATTGTCATCTTTCACTCATATTGTAATCAGATTTTTATTTGATGGCAACCCAACAGAAAAGATGCACCAAAATCTGCAGCTTTGCGGTAGCTTGTCTAACAATCATAACTATGAAAGCATGTCGTATTTCCCCCTATTTCAAATGCTTTCTAACATCTCCTCCTAAATAGATTAATTGAGAATTTAAAAACTTCTCGTACATGGGTCGGATGAAACATTACCAAAAACTTTTCATAATAAAGACGCAATATATCTCCTATTTTTATATGTTATCCCGCATGTATTAAATGAGATCTGAACTCTGCTAACGATTTCTTTCAAAAAGCAAATTTTAGACTTATCATTAAAGGGAAAAAAATAATTATAATAATAATAGATTGCCTTAATTACTCTACATAGTAATTCATTTCACTAAACACTATATTAATCACAAAAACACAAAATAACTCCACACACACACACACACACACACACACACACATATATATATAGAATCTGATTATTCTCTTGCTGCTACAACGATTGCTGTTGGTGCGGTAGGTACTGTTGCTGCTGGTGATGGTAGTACGACACGTAATGCTGTNATTATAATAATAATAGATTGCCTTAATTACTCTACATAGTAATTCATTTCACTAAACACTATATTAATCACAAAAACACAAAATAACTCCACACACACACACACACACACACACACACACATATATATATAGAATCTGATTATTCTCTTGCTGCTACAACGATTGCTGTTGGTGCGGTAGGTACTGTTGCTGCTGGTGATGGTAGTACGACACGTAATGCTGATTATACATCATCTGCTACTGCATCACCATTGTCGTCACTGGATACTGTTGCATCGCCATCCACTGCTGCTGGTACTGTTGCATCGCCATCCATTGCTG